GAGAGAGAGAGAGAGAGAGAGAGAGAGAGAGAGAGAGAGAGAGANAGGGGTCCTCCNCCCCTTTGAACGAAGGCGTCGACCCTCGACAACGAGTGCCAGACACAATTGTCACGAAAGGGTTCCACGCCACTTGGAACAACCTTTCCCTCTCGGTGCATGCACGATCTCTAACTACACTACCGGCGGCGCGCCTGGCGGAGGAGAACTCTCGAACTGTCGAACACCCACCTTGCCAGCCAGCCTCTGCTGACACCCCGGAAAACACCCCGATCCCGGCTCGAAGATAAGAAAACTAAGGAAACTAAGCTCTCGAGACGAAACGCTGCGCGAGCAAACTTCGATATCGATCAACGATATCTGAGAGAGAGAGAGAGAGAGAGAGAGAGAGAGAAGGCGAAACAAAGGATCGTGGTCCAAAGGACTTCTGACGTTATTTCTCTCCTTTTATCTCTTTGCTTTCCCTGCTTTCCTTTGATACGCTTATTCCTCTCTGGGGAGGATACACAAAGGGGGTGAATGGAGGAAATTAGCGAGGCTTCTCGAATTATTTTCAACAATCAAAGTCAATCGTTCGAACAATATTACACAGTTCGAGTTTCGTTCCTTTCCTTTCTTATTATTCGAAAACTGGATAATAACGATAGAATTTTAATGCGATTATAATTAAAATTAAAAAATATATATATATATATCCAGTTGATAAAGAAAGAGGACCGAATTCTAAAACTCGGTCGAAAAAAAGTGGTGATGGAGAGACAAAAGCGAAGGAAGGAGAGAGAGAGAGAGAGAGAGAGCGTGGGCACAAAAGGGAGCACAGAGGGGAGTGCTCGTTTCGCGAGGCGCGAAACAGCCGGCAAAATTTCGCAGGGCACCGTGTCCCCCGCTGTCAAAATACGAGTATAGAGGCGAGTTGACGAGCGAAGCTCCACGAGTCGTCGTACAAAGGAGAGAAGAATCGAGAAAGAGAGAGAGAGAAGAAAAAAAGAAGAGAGGGGGGAGACGGTGAATTGCGGCCTAGCCGCGGGGACCCCGTTCGGGGCTTCGTCCCTCACCGTCCCTTCGGGTCCAGAAACCTAACACCTTTCGAGCGCAAAACCCACGGGTACGTATATAACGAGATCTTCCCGTGGCGAAGGCTCCTTTTAAAACGAGATGACGGCGGGTGGTAAGCGGTGGTGCGAGGGAATGGTAAAGCGCAGGTAAAAAAGGGAGGAACAGGAAATATTAGATTTACGCGCGGTGACGACGCACTGCCCACAATGCACCCGCGCCCGATTTTTC